TTTCCTCATTTTGATTGCAGTCACAGCTTCCATTTTTTTTTTTTTTTACTGTGAAAGACAGTTCAAAGGTTACACACAGACACGTATGTACACATGTATGCACATACACAGGCATGCACTGGGTACACAGACACACAGACACACACACACACACACACACACACACACACACACACGACCCTAACCTGCCTACTGTTTGAGACACTGTCTTCAAAGTGGGGCTGATTTTGGATGGTAACAGCGTGGAGTATAGTTAGTGAGTGTAGAGACAGTCTTAGTTTCTACGTTTGGAAGAAGGGAAGGTTGTTGCTTTGAAGGGTACATGTAAGGTTTTCAAATGACTTTGATGTAATAACAAAAAGGTCCACAGTGGAGGAGATAAGCAGCAATCACCCTTGCCTCCTGTTTTTCTTTCCAACTCTCTGAGGCTGGGCAAACAATTTGCTTGCTTCTGCTGACATTGTGGATCTTGAGTTGGGCTGGTATTTGGATGGCTTCAGCTGTGGAAGAGGTGTGGTGGCGGAAGAACTTATGTGGAATTTACTTCTCTTTATTCATCTGATTAGAAGTCTCCTTTTGTGCTAGTAGCTGCTTCTTGAGTTCTCTCTTCACTCATGTCTATGTCCTAAAAGAAGCTTGGTTGTCATGCATGTCAGGATTGAGCCAGATTCCAGGGAAGTCTTGTGTAGGTCTGTCCCTGGGAGCAAGGGCTGGCTTTTTGTCCAGTTGAGGGTATTCTTGAAGATTTTTACACTAGAAGATCCCAATAAGATAATTTGTTTTTTGTGTTGATTTTTGTTTTTCGAGACGGAGTCTCTCTGTGTAGCTGTGACTATTCTGGAATTTTCTCTGTAGAACAGGCTGGCCAAAAAATCACAGAGATCCACCTGCCTCTGCCTCCCAAGTGCTGGGATTAAAGGTGTGTGCCACCACAGCCCAGCTTTAATAAGATGATTTTAAAAAACAAACAAACAAACAAACAAACAAAACAAAGGAAGTTCTGTCAGGTAAAAGTCATGTGGAACTGTAGGTTCAAAGGTCTGGATTTTAGACCCACTGAAGAGACTGTTTCAGTATTACAGTGGTTTCTCACAAATAGTCTTTTCTCATCTGTGTTGTGTGGAAGTTGCTGACTGGGTTCCCAGAGTCACCGACCCAGGCTCTATCATGTTGAGACTGAAATACCTCTGGTGGGATATATGAGCCATAGACTACAGAGGAAGACTTGAGTGTCCCTCACAAAGACTCCAAACTCTAGGTCCTTCTATGTTGTCAAAGCTTCTCGAAAGTTCTGATGAAAGGTTTGTGTAGCCATTGTCTGGTGGTAGTCTAGTCACACATACTATGGAATTGTAGAAATAGTGAATACGTGAGTAAGGGCAGGTGAAAAAAAAGCATGAAAGGGAGGGAGAGAATGTAAATGTCTGTTATTGGTTCCTCCCTCTATTTCTAGGTAGAGCTGGAGCTTGGGTTGGGTGCAATCACATAGTTTCTTATCCAAACAGTATCAGCTTGTTGGTTAAGAATCTGGGTTCTAATCCTGCTTGTACAACCTTGAGTCACTTCCTTAGCTTCTGCTTCATTGTCCATAAGATGGGGACAGCAGAACTGCCCCACTTCAAAGAATTTAGAAGTACCTCCCTCAGAGTCCCCATGAGGATTAAATCAGTACATGGGAGACAGGTACACCCTTGGCTGACAGCACAGTACTATGCACAGGCCTGCTAGTGACATTCTGTTTCTGTGAAGGTAATTCTGATTAGGTAGGTATATTTTGAAATTTGCAACTTTTTTTTTTTTAAATAAGTGTCAACGGTATTCTGTCCCGTCTTAGGAAGAAAAAGTTGTGATTGTTTCGATTTCCTTCAGGTCTCTGAATCCTGTAATCGTTGCTTCCTCCATTTGCCTTATTTGTGAATATTTGATACAGGTTAAGAATAAGAACAGCTATTGCTCCGTGATTAAGTCCCACTCCTTGTAGGATCCGGTTCAAATACTTGGCTTCTGCTACCCAGGGATCTAACTTGGCTGGCAGAAGAACAATTAGACCAATAGATTTTCCCATTGATTTAGCTACTGTTCTATTGCAGGCCAGATATCTGGCTCTGATCCTTTTTACTCTTGATTCCCCTTGCTCTCTATGTTGCCTACAAGGAGGTGGTGGGTCCTGGCAGGCTGGTATGGGGACCAAGGAGGGATGAAGTAGAGGGCAGCAGGCCTTTCTGATTCCCTTCCCATTTTCCAGTTACCTTCTCTCCTCCCCCCTACTGCCTCCTGTGTCCCTCAGTCTTTTCTGTCTGCCCTTCCCTAAGATGGCTTCTGTACCAGTCAGGAACAACTTCTAAATAGGTGATTCCCAAACTGCCTGTTGGTACTTGGTTTGTATCCACAAAATGAAACAAGCTGGCTACTCAGTAGGAAGGGGATGGCTACATAGATAGGAGCACAAATCAGCTGCTTTTCAATGTTTGCAAAAGTCTGTAATGATGTTTCTCACTGTTTAATGGACAAAGCCAGCTGTGAAAGTATGTTTGCAGAATCTAAATGGTCTCAGGGAATGTCTGGAATGAAATTTTCCAAATAGTAACAGTGGTTGCCTCTGGCTTATATGTGATTGTTTTGTTTCCTGTATCCTTATGGTTTTCCAAGTTTTGTAAAACTTCTCCTGGGGTGTGTAGGACTTTTATGATCATGAGGAAATAGCAGCTGTTAGGTGAAGATGGGTTGCCACAGAGGTCCAGAAGGTGCCCATGGGTGGCAGAACTGAACTCTGAGGGTGTCAGATTTACATACTATCTCATCTGACCAACAGGCCTCTTGATGAAGAGTTGAAGATGAAGAACATGGATGATAATACCCTAGTGGGTAAGCATCTGGCCAGCTTTGAGAATTCTAGCCTTTTTAATACCTTAATTATTTTTCCTGATTCTGGGGCTAGAACCTAGGCCCGTGTGCGCTAGGCAAATGCTCTGCTACTGCACTATGTCCCCTAACCTTTCTGGTGGCCTGTTTTTTTTTTTTTTAAATCGTTTCTTCCTTGTTTCTATAAAAAGGAAAAGGTCACCACTTCCTTAGATTGTCACAGAAAGCTTCCAATGCAAACTTCCAGTTAGTCTCAGATGAGCAGAATTAGGCTCCTTGTATACCTGTCTTGCTTCAACATTGCCCTTCTCTTCTCTCTGGCAGAACATCCTGATGTTCAAGAGTCATTGGGTCCCCTAGTGGCCCCTACCCCTCTCCGTCCATGGCCCCAGATGACACTTAAGGTGAGCAGGACCTTGTAAGCTTGGTGTGAACAGCTAGATAGGAAGCTCACAGTGTGACCACAACTGGCTCTACTGGTGGAGCTCTTGGCTATCCTAGGTAGGGGTGGAGGTGGGGGGCAATATCATGAAATGCAGAATTTGATGGGGGTTAGGGAAGGATGAAACTGTTCACTTGGGTTTAATGGTTGATTAGCAAACATTTAGGGAATGCTTGTTCTGTGTTATAGGCACAGGAAATCCAACACTAATGGCATATATATGGGGTATAAATGTTAGGGCAGACACATAATGAAATGATAGTTTAAATATGAGAGATTTTAAATGAAGATGAATGCCTAGGTAAATTGGAGGGAGAGAGGGAAAGTGAGAGATTGGTGTTGGGGGGAATGGAGAGAGGGGCCTGAGAAGTGAGGCTTGAGAGGAAATTTGAAGGTGAGAGAATGAACCCCATTGGAGAAGAACGTTCCAGGCAAGTGCCAAGATCCTAAGGTGGGGCCTGAACTAATGTATGTTAGAAACAAGGTTTGTGTGATGGGACAGAGTGGAGGGTAAAACGGAGAGGGTGGGGAGTGAAGGGAAAATGGAGAGAGGGAGAGTGAGGGGCAAAGTGGGAAAGGAGGAGCAAGGGCGAAGTAGAGGGAAGGAAGTGGAGAGTGTGAATGAGGAGTGATGTCAGAGATGTGGCAGAGAACAGATTGAGTGGGGCCATGGGAGCTAAGGTGAGGATTTAGGCATTTTTACTCTTAGTGAGGAGGAGTCAAGGGAGGGAGGGGCACGAGCAGAGGAAGAATGTGACCTGTTGGAAGAGGGTGGAAATGGGGGCACCAGTGAAGAGGAAGCTGGTGAACTATGATGCTGTTGGCAGAGGAGGAGGAGACATTTAAAATGTGTGTGTCTTAACTTTTGTTTCTAAAAAATTAAAAGTAAATGTGTATATAAAGGTAAAGAGACCAGTCTGATGAACCCACATCATCCAGCCTCAATGCATACTGGCATGTGTCAATTCCTCCTTTAATAATGTAGCCCTTTCACTTCTCATTTCCTACGGAATAATTTTAGAAAAAAGATCCATAAACTATCCAATTCATGAATGCTATAGTTTGTTTCTCATAAAAATAATCATAAAAAAACAAAACCCCTAAAGATCATACCATAATCACATCTCCAAAAATTAGCAGCATTCCTTCATCCCATCAGTGATTGGGCTAACGATGCAATTTTCTTATGAGTGTTCCCAGGACCCAAAGAAGGTGATTCATTGTATTATTTCTTTTTCTTTCTTTCTTTCTCCTTTTTTTTTTTTTTTTTTTTTTTTTGTCTTTGGTTTCTCTGTGTAGCCCTGGCTGTCCTGGAACTAGCTCTGTAGAGCAGGCTGGCCTCAAACTCACGGAGATCCACCTGCCTCTGCCTCCCAAGTGCTGGGATTCCAGGAGTGCACCCCCACTGCCGGGCTGATACAGTGTATTTTGTCTTTACTTTTACTGTCCCCAGTTTCTTCATTGCAGTTTGTTCACTAAACCCTGTTTGTCGGGTAGACTTTTACAGAGTCTGAGTTTGCCTGATGATATTCGGGTAGAAACGCATTTCTTACTCTATTTAAAAAAATGAAATTACATTGATTGATTGACCGTGTGTGTATCTGCATGTATGTGCACAGGTGTGTGCTTGTGTGTGTGTGTGTGTGTGTGTGGTGAGGCCAAAGGACGACTTGTGGGAGTGAGTTAGTTCTCTCCTTCTATCATGTTGGTTCTAGGAAGCAAACTCAGGCTGTCAGGCTTGGTGGCAAGTGCCCTTACCTATTGAGCTATCTCATTGGCCCTCTTACTCTAATTTTCATTAATTAATTAACCTTATTCACTTTAGTATTTAATTAAGTCAAATTTACTAAACCATTAATTTTGCTAAATATATTTGTTAAATTTTTATTGTTATAAAATTGACTTATAGAATGAATTCCATTAAGTTCTATTAAATTGTATCATTCTACTTCTTTTATTGGCTGAACTTTTTTTCTAAAGATACATGGTGTACATACTTAATCTCCTTTTTATTTGTCAAATATGTTTGGAATCTAAAGGTATATGTTGACTTTAAATCTATTGTATTTGTTTATTTTGATGCTTACATTGAAGCCAGGAGTTTTTTTTTTCTTATTGTATCTTTTTACCTGTTAAACACTCTGAATTATGCTGTGAGTCTGTCCTCACATCTTGCTATGACAATATTATTATGGTCTTGTACTTTTCCTGCTCCACACCTGGAGAATGCTGTCTCATTAAGAAACCTTGGTTTGGGGCTGGAGAGATGGCTCAGTGGTTAAGAGCACTGACTGTTCTAGAAGACCTAGGTTCAAGTCCCAGCAACCACATGACATCTCACAACTGTCTGTAATCCAGCTCCAAGTGATTTGGCACTCTCACACAGACATGCAGGCAGGCCAAACACTAGTGAGCATATTTATTCAATAAATAAGTCATTTAAAGTCATTCCACCGCCTTGCAGTGGAAACTCATGTCTAAAGATTCAGATAGGGGCTCAATCTGACTGTTGCTACTAAACTGAGCATTGTTTTCACAAACAATTAGGAAGTAAATATTAACATTTTTATTACATTTATTTGTGTGTGTGTGTAGGTCAGAGTACAGCTTGTAGGAATTGGTTCTTTCCTTTCCAACTCAGGTCATCAAGTTTGGTAGCAAATGCTGTCACCCTGTGACCCAGCCAGCCAGTCCAGAAAGAAGTATTTTAACATTTGTTACTGATTGTTACCCACTGATGCCCAGTGAATCACTTTGTGTCATCACCTGGAAAAAGAAGTCACTTTGTACTTGTTTGAGTTTTGCTCTTTGCATATACAGGCGGTTAGAGAATTACATGGGGTTCTTTAACATATTTTTGCCTGAAAAACTCTAGGGACTGTGTTTGTTCTTATTGTCTCTTCTTGTTACCTCTCCTCTTCTGCTTTATCTTCCCATCTACACAATGGGAACAGGTTTCTGAAGTTACAGTGAACAGAAACCCTCAAGAAGAAGGTGACATCTCCAGAAGCAATCCACCTGTGGCTTTTACAGAGGTTCTCCAGGCACCAGCCATCCGGATTCCCCCATCTATCTGTGGACTGGGTGGCTTCCCCAGGGACCAGGCCTCTGGGCCCGATGCAAGTGATAGAGCCACTGGCACCTTCCTGGAACCCACTCAGCAACAGGTGGAGGCTACATGGGAAAGTGCAGGGGGCTTAAAGGCCCCCATGGTGGGGGCTATGACAGATGAGCCCGCTGGGGGTCTGGAGATTGTGAGTGGGTTGGACGAGTTGCTCGGTGAAGACACCATTGACCAGGAGTTGGAGCAGCTCTACCTGTCTCACCTGAGCCGCTTGCGGGCTGCTGTGGCAGCAGGGGATGGCGGGGAGGGCTCTGCAGATGGGGGGACATCCCCTAGCCATTCCCTGGGCACACTCACGGACCGTGACCTGATCTTGAAGTGGCCTGGCCCTGAGAGGGCCCTGAACAGTGCCCTGGCCGAGGAGATCACGCTGCACTATGCGCGCCTGGGGTGCGGTGTGGAGCTCATCAAGGACACTGAAGACCCTGATGATGAAGGGGAGGATGAAGAGGGGCTCTCTATCACTCCTTCTAGCCCTGAAGGAGACAGCCCTAAGGAATCACCTCCAGAAATCCTCTCTGGGGCCCGCTCTGTGGTAGCTACTATGGGAGATGTGTGGCTTCCATGGGCTGGGGGGTCTGAAGGTGACAGCCCTGTGGTTCTGGGGACACAGGGTCAGTTTGCTGAGGATCCAGAGAAAGGGATGGGCAAGGACATCAACTCTTTGCACGTGAATAGGGTCATAGTTGGGGTGACCAGGTCCCCTGGGGAGGCTATGACAGAAGCCCAGATGGAGGTTACTCCTGAGTGGGAAGGTAGCTTGCTGTCTGTTTCTGATCAAGAGCTTTCTGTATCAGATTTGCCAGAGCAGAGTCCTGTCCACCTTGGTCCCACAGGGACTGAAGTCTGTCTTTCTAGTGTAGCCAACCCTCCTGCGAACTCCCAGGATGAAGAGGGTAGAAGCCCAAATTTTGAGTCCCCAAAGAGGTCTCCCATGACAGCAGCCCCTGCAGAATGTGTGTGTGGGTTTTCTCCTCAGCTCCGAGGCCCCTTGACCCAAACTCTGGGTGTCCTGGCTGGGCTAGTTGTGGTCCCTGTGGCTTTGAACAGTGGTATGTCCCTTTTGGTGCTTGTGTTGTGCCTCTCTCTGGCCTGGTTCTCGTAGGGGCTACCTGTAGGATCAGCAACAGCAGGTCTCCTCCTCTCTGGGGCCTCAAGATTTACAGTCCCTTTGTCATCCCCAAAGAGTTGAGATGAGATCTGTGAGCTGTGTAATAAGGAGCTTCGGTCCTTTGAGTTTTGAGAGTGCTCAACTGGAGAGAGGCCTTCCCAGCTCTGAGCTCTCCTGTCAGCACCAGGCTTCCTGCAGTAGTACTTGTGGAGTTTAACAGAATGGTGGATGGTGTGAGACATTTTAGAATGGAATCAGGCATGCCCCCTCCACCCACCTACCCCAAGCCTGTATTTATTTTTGTATAATTCTCTGGATGAGGGAGAGTGGTCATGAGCTGGTCTTGGGGCACAATTACCCAGAGATATATTTATTAACAGCCAAACTGTGCAACCTGCTGGAGCTTTATTTTTAATTTAATTTATATAGAGTACCTATTATTATATGCCACAATAGAGCTCTTTGAGAAATGATGTGTTTTGCTGTGCTGGTCTCCTGTTTGGGCCTGAGTGTGTAGGGTGGTCATATTTTAGGGAATGGCCGTGGTCCATGATGGGAGTGGAGATGGCCATGATCATGCCTACTGCTGCCTCCTCAATGTGTCCTTGAGGATCTGTATTCTCTTTGCCTTGTGGTCCTAATATATGTGGTCCTTTGGTCGTACATATTTTGTCTGTGGGAGCCTGTGTCTGTGTATATGGGTGGTTGTGTTGGGAGCCAAGGGGAAGAATATTGGCCATATGAAGTTTTGGTGTTAGTTATGTGGCTGCAGTGGTGGCTGGGGTCAGCTGTGGATACAGCGACATGGATTAGCCACAAGGTTTTGAGGTTACTGAAAAAAGTAACACCAGCAGGAAGACCCCTCAAGCCCCAAAATGGGGAAAGGCCCCAGAAAGGAATTAATGAACTGTGAAAAATTTGTATCAGATTTGTTGTCCACAGACATTGCATTTCTGCTCCAAACAGGAAACTCAGAAGCTTCAAAAGAAAAGTTAGATACATTTATTGCATGCAAATAAAAACTCTTGGCATAGCAAAAATAAAACACAATATATTTATTTACTTCCCTTTACAGCAAACCTTTTAAAAATGGTGATTGTTTTGGTGGCTTATTAATTTAGCCGGGTCTCAGACTGGCTGGGAACTCACAGTCATCCTGATGCAGCCTCCTAGCAGTGGGATTGTGGATGTGTGTCAGCAGATATGCCTACTGGTACATCAAAACTTCTTAAAAGAAATATTGTAGTAGCTTTCCCCATTTTTTTTTCTATTCCTCCATTACCCTATGCCTTTCCGAAACAGTTCCAATCTGTATATTTTTCTGACAACTTAAAAAATGTTGCTGCTGTTACGACAGTTAAAACCCATATCTCATCTTATGTAGATAGCCTCCTGGCAGCATTTGACAGTTGATCATCTCTATTCCCAGCCTTTTCTTCACTTGGTTTCCAGGATGCCACACTCTCCTGGTTTCCCTCATTGCACACTGGCTATTCTAGAACAGTGCCCATCAAGTAGATCTGCTCAGTAACTGATCATTGGATGAAACATACGAAGGAACGTACATGTATATGAGGACATACAGAGAACTGTGGCTACAATCTCCGTTTACCTTCACAAATGTTGACCAACTGACTGCTTCTTCTCTGCTCTGTGGACACAGGGTGATGAGCTCACAGTCCAGTGGGGGTGAGAAGCACAAAGAAATCTCTGTGCAGCATGCTCAGTGTGCTAATGGTGTTAAGTATTATGGACTGGGATAGCCCAGGACAGGTGCTTAGCCTAGTTGGGAACTCTGGAAATCTTGGAGGATATGGTACCTGGCCTAAGTTCCCAAAAGGGAGAAAGAGTCCAGCTCAGAGTGGAGGGGAGGACAGGTCAGAATAATAGCCTTGTGGTTTGGAAGCAAAAGCCAGCCAGTAAGAAATTCAACACACATGTTTTTCAAGGATTATTATTATTTTTGAGACAGGGCTTTTCTGTGCAACAGCTCTTGGCTGTCCTGGAACTTGCTCTGTAGACCAGGCTGGTCTCAGACTCACAGAGAGATTATGATGCCGGGCATCATTCCCGGCAAGGATTATTTTTTATACAATTTCTCTGTAGCCTAACTTAATTTTGAATGATGCTCTTTCTCCTTTAGCCACTCCCCCACCCTCACCCAGGTTTTGGGCTTACAGCATTAATTACCATGTGTGGCTTCAAACGGGTATTTTGACTTCTCAAATATCAATGCTCAGATATCTATGGGTTTCTATTTCATTTATTTGTTTGCCTATCTATCTATCTATCTATCTATCTATCTATCTATCTATCTATCTATCGAGGCAGGGTTCCTTTGTGTATCCCTGGCTGTCCTGGAGTGATTTTTTTTTTAATTTATTGAGACTGGCTTTCGCTATGTAACCTTTTGGAAGTTGGTCTAATGCTAATTACTGGCCCTAAAGATCTGGTTACTGCCTGCTGGGTACACCCATCCTTGTTTGTGTAAACCTGCCTAAGACATACCTGATTGGTTGATTAAACAGCCTATACCTGGGCAGGGCAGAATGGGGCAGGTGTGGCTAAGGATCCCAGGCTTTTGACAGGAAGAGAGGAAGAAGGCGGATGATACGATGGGTTAATCTGGAGAAGAAACCTTGTGGGGCCGTGAAAAGGCCCAGATAAAGAATAAAAGCAAGCATTTAAAAGATTTTGGAGAGAAGATAGGATAGTTAAGGAGGATGGCATTGGATGGGGGCTGGGAAATGGATCATGGTGAGTTGATTCAGACAGTGTAGTAGGAATATCTGCCCAGCCCAAGGTAAATAAGGCAATTATAAAATCTAACAGGTGTCTGTGTCTTATTAATTGTGATAGCAGGTTAGATAATACCGTCGTGATAATCATGGGGCTAATAATAAATAATATATAGCTCAACACTCATCATTTTTTTTTTACAACAACAGTAGCCCCAGGCTGGCCTTGATCTTTCCATTCTTTTGCCCTAGCCTCTCAGGTACTAACTAGGATTCCATACTTGGCTTTTATTTGATAATTTTATGATTGTTTTAAAGTGTTCCTTATGTCAAATTGTTTAAAAAAAAAGTAGACAAATTACTATCAGCGTATAACTTATGAAATGTGTCCCAAAAAGGAGCAGAAAATTATGAGTTATTTTATAACCATTGAAGAAACAGAAGTTTTCCTACATAAAAACTCTGGGCCCAGATAGCTTTGCTGTTTTAAGACCCAAAACAAATAACTCCACTTTTCAAAAGTAATTCCATGATTTAGAAAAGGAGAACATGCTCAATTCATTTAATGGGGCTGATAGGATCTTGATGTTTTTAAAACCTGATGAACTAAAAATGAATACCAACAAAACCATCTCATTCATGAACATAGACAAAAATATTCTAATTTAAATAATTGCTAAGTCCAATATATGTTTTAAAAAGGTTTAAGATAGCCAGGCTGTGGTTGTACATGATATTAATCTCAGCACTCGGGGAGGCAGAGGCAGGCAGAGCTCTGTGAGTTCGAGGCCAGCCTGATCAAGTCCAGAGCAAGTTCCTGGACAGCCAAGGCTACACAGAGAAACTGTGTCTTGAATTAAAAAAGTCTAAGATGACCAAGTTGAGCCAGACATGATGGTGTATGCCTCTGCCCTCAGCTTTCTGTAAGTTGAAGGAGGATTGCAACTTTGAGGCTAGCCTCTGCTACAGAATGTGTTCAAGATCAGTCTTGACAAGCTAGGCTGTGTGGCACATGCCTGTAATCCTAGCACTCTGGGAGGCAGAGGCAGGAGGATCTCTGTGAGTTTGAGGCCAGCCTGGTCTACAAAGTGAGTCCAGGACAGCTAAGGCTATGCAGAGAAACCCTGTCTCAAAACAAACAACACAATAACAGAAAGAGCAGTCTTGGCTTTATAGCAAAACACTATTTCGAAAAACTTGGGGTGGGGGAAGACCAAGTTGGATTTATCTCTGATAGGTCATGTAATTTAATATTTGAAACAGTACAGATACCTTATTAGCATATTAAAGGAACAAAAGTGTAGGAACTGGAGAGATGGCTCAGCAGTTAAGAGCACTTAATGTTCTTCCAGAGGTCCTGGGTCCTCAGGTCATTAGCTTAATGACCTGAGTTCAATCTCTGGGTTTTATATGGTAGAAGGATAGACGTTCACACATATGCTGTAACACATGTCCTCCTCCATACATAGATGTAATAAAAATTTATGATGAAGAAAACATTTAAACATTGGAAACAAGGAACTGAATTGTCATTTTTTTGTAGGTTATACCATTAGGTATGTAGAAAAATTTTTGGATACAAAAATCTATATTTAAAACTGTGTTTTTCTGTTTTGTTTTTTGTTTCTTTTGGCCAGGTGTGGTGGCTCATGCCTTGAATCCTAGGTCTTGGGAGGCAGAGGCTGGTGGATCTCTGAGTTTGAGGCCAGCCTGGTCTATAGAGTGAGTTCTGGAACAGCCAAGGCTACACAGAGAAACCTCATCTCAAAAAACCAAAAAGAAAAAAAAAGGGGGTTATTTGGTTTTTTGTTGTTGTTGTTGTTTATTTGTTTTTGCTTTGGCTGGGGCTGTAGTTCAGTTGTAGAATGCCTAACAGATATGAGACCATGGTTCCATTACAAGCACCACAAAATATGTTTTTATATGCTGACAACAAAGAAAATTTTAATAAACCATTCATAAACAACTTAGAAATTAACAACAAGGGACAAGTCTCTTTTAGGAAAATAATACAAAACCTGATCATTGGCAGAATCCAGGTCATAAAGCTTGTCAGAACCCTCTACATCAGTGGTTCTCAACCTTCCTTATGCTGTGACCCTTTAATACAGTTCCTCATGTTGTGGTGACCCCCAGCTATAAGTTTATTTTCATTGCTGCTTCATAACTGTAACTTTGTTATTGTTATAAATTGTAATGTAAATATCTGATATGTGACCCCAAAGGGGTTGTTACCCACAAGTTGAGAACTGCTGCTCTAGACTGTTTTGTAGGTTCATTGTAAACCCAATCACAATTTACAGATATGTTCTGATTGTGACAAATTAATTCTTTTTTCTGAGACAGGGTCACTCTATGTAACAGCCCTGGCTGTCCTGGTACTTGCTCCATAAACCAGACTGGACTCGAAACTCAGAGATACACCTGCTTCTACCTCCCAAATGCTGGGGCTAAAGTTGTGCACCACCACAGCCAAGCTGACAAATTAATTCTTAAATGAGTATGGAATGTCAAGACTAGCCAGGCCACTCATTTGTAAGGTACAATAATCAAGGTGGTGCAATACAGTTTCAAGCCTAGGTAAACAGGTGGTCACAGATAACACTTATATATAGATACTGAATCAGTGGGCTAGAAGAGCTGTTCTAAACAAGTAGGGTAATGGTGAAACTTTTAGTAAATGGAACAATTAAGTATCCATTTTGGGAGAAATGAACTTTGGTCTTTATATTACCAATAACTCTGTGAATTAAAAACATAAATACAAAAAGGAAAAGCAAATCACTTTGGAGGTCAAGTTTTGTATCCTGTGTAAAGTCAAGCACCCTAACCCAGCTAGCTATACCAAACTCTCAACCATGGAAAACATTTGTATACGCATGATAGAAAATTTTTTTTCTTCAATAAGACACAAAAAGCACTAATCATA